CATCCTAAATGGATAAAAATTGGAAGCATTCCCATTCAAATTAGGAACTAGGCAAGGCTGTCCACTGTCTCCACACTTTTTCAATATAGTGCTTGAAACTCTTGCTAGAGCAAGAAGACAAGAAGGAAATTAAAGGAGTATTAATTGGAAGAGAAGAGGATAAATTATCCCTATTTGCAGATGATAGAATATACATAAGTGATCCCCAAAATTCTACCATAAAACTTTTAGAAATCATCAACACTTTCAGCAAAGTGACAGGTTTCAAGATCAATCTACAAAAATAAGTAGCCTTTCTATGTACCAATAACAAGCAATCACAGAAAGAGTTCATGGAAACAGTGCCATTCACAACAGCCTCAGAAAAGAAAGTATCTAGGAATAAACCTAACCAAAGACATTAAAGACCCCTACAATGAAAATTTTATTATTTTGGGAGGTCTTTATTTAAGACTGGGTCTCCCTGTAGCCCCAGCTGACCTGAAACTTGCTATGTAGACCAGACTGGCATTGAACTCACAGAGGTCCATCTGCCTCTGCCTCCCAAGTTCTGGGATTAAAGACGTGCAACACCATACCCAGACAATGAAAAATTTTAAACTCTGTAGAAAGAAATTGAGGAAGACACAAGGAGATGAAAAGAGATCCTGTGCTCATGGATTGGTAAAATTAATATTGTGAAAATAACCATCCTACAAAAAGCAATTTATAGATTCAAAGCAATCCCTATCAAAATCCAAATGACGTTCTTCACAGGTTTTGAAAGAATCATCTTAAAGCTTACTTTAAAACACAAAAGATTCCAGATAAGCAAAACAATCCTAAGCACAAAGAACAATGTTGAGGGGATTACCATACCAGATCTCAAACTATATTACAGAGTTATAGTCATAAATACAGCATGGCAAAGGTATATAAAACAGACTTGTAAACCAATGGAACAGAATAGAAGAACTATGAATGAGTGTACACAATTTTAGCCACCTGATACTTGACAAAGGTGCCAAGAACATATGTTGGAGGAAAGATACCATCTTCAACAAATGGTGCTGGAAAACTAGAAATTAGTCATACTATCACACTGCACAAAAGCCAACTCCAAATGGATCAAAGACCTCAATACGAAACCTGAAACTCTGAAACTGTTAAAAGAAAGTAAAGGCAGTATCCTAACAAGACATAGAATTTAGGGAAAGGACTTTCTAAGTTGGACATTAGTTGCTCAGGAATTAAGGTCAACAATTGACAAGTGGGACCTCATCAAACTAAAAGCTTCTGTACAACAGTGGAAACAACCAATGCGGTGAAGAGGAGGCTCACAGAGTGGGAGAATATTTTCACCAGCTACACATCTGACAGAGGATAAATATCCAGAATGTACAAAGAATCAAGATAACAAAGGAGAGACTGGAGATGGCTCAGGGATTAAGAGCACTGATTGCTCTGGCAGAGGACCTAGGTTCAATTCTCAGCATCCACATGAAGGCTAACAACCGTCTATAACTCCAATTCCAGGGGTATCCAATACCCTTTTCTGAACTCAATGGGTAGCATAATGGATGTACTTATACACATGCCAGCAATACACTTATACACATAAAATAAAAATAATGAATAAAAATATTTTTGAAAAAGAAAGAAAGTAAATGACCCAGAAGGGGAAAAAATGGGCTATGAATCTGAAAATCTGTTCATGATAAAAGCTCTGAAGTCCAGGAATAGAAGTAAGACACCTCAACATAATAAAGGCTGTTTATGCCAAACCTGGAGCCAACTTTATCCTAAATGAGGAAAAAGTGAAAACATTTCCTCTAAAATCAGAAACAAGGCAAGTGTATACTACCATTGCTCTTATTCAATATAATGCCTAGAGTTTTAGCTCAAGAAGCAAGACAAAAGAACTCAAAAGGTCAGAATAGGAAAAAAAGAATTCAAATTATCCCTATAAGGTATGATCTTATATTTGAAAGACTCTAATGACTCTACCCGGAAACTCTTGCTTGATTTGTACTTTCAGCAAAAAAGCAGATGAGATCAGTATATAAATATTAATGACTTGTCTTTAAACCAATAATGAACTAGCCTAAAAAAAATTGAGAGGAAAATCCCATTAATGAAAACATAGCTTAAACAAAATAATAACAACTAGGACTAATCATAAGAAGAAAAGATTCCTCAATAAAAAATTTAAGACACCAAAGAAAGAAATTTAAGAAGCTACTCCAGAATGGGAAGCTTTCCTGTGCTCATAGATTGATTATATTATTATAAAAATGACTTCATTAACAAAAGTGGTCTACAGATGCAGTATGAAGCTTGTGAAAATTCCAATGATGTTATTGACAAAATGTGAAAAAGAAATCCTGAAATCTATTTGTATTTTTAAAAGACCTCAAATAGCCAAGGAAATTTTATACAAAAAGAGTAATCCTGGAGGTACCACAGTACCTGACATCAAATTGTACTAAAGAACCATAGTAACAAACACAGTTTGATACTGGCAGAGAGAAAGAGAGACAGACAGACAGAGAGTGAGACAGACAGAGAGAGATAGAGACAGAGACAGAGAGAGAATATAGGACCAAAAAATAAACACAAATGTCTACAGCCAGCTAATTTTTCATGAAGGAACCAAAGACATGCATTGAAGAAAAAGCTTTTCACCAAATGGTGTTGGGAAACCTGGCTATCTGGATGAAGAAGGAGCCTAGATCCATGTCTCTCAGCTTATCAAGGACCTTAATATAATACTGGAGACTTGGAAACCGCTAGAGGAAAGCAGGAAAGACAAGGTGGCATAGACAAGGACCTTCTAAAAAGACAAATTGAAAATAAAATGAGATTTTAAAGGCTTCTGCAGAGTGACACCCACTGGTATAAAGAGACAATCTACAGAATGGAAACAAAACCTTTTCAGCTTCCCATCAGATAGAGAATCAATTGCTAGAATATACAAAGAACTGTGAGAAGTTTAAATAATAAAAATTTATCATCCAATGAAACAAATGAGCTAGTGAACTGATAGACAATTCTCAAAAGATGCACAAATGATGGATAAATATTTGAAAGCGTGTTCAATATCCCTAGACATCACAAAATGAAAAGAGAAACTGTTCTTGGACCTCATCCTACTACACTCAAAATGGCTATCAAAAAGAAAGCAAATGACAACAAACACTGGCCTGGGCGTGGGTAAAGAGGAACCCTTAGACGCAGCTGGCTTGACTGCTAAGGAGTCCGTGCGGAGCTTCTTCATAAAACTGAAAATAACAGCAGCACATCCGGCCGTATGATGCCTGGCCACATTCTTGAGGACTTGAAGTTCATGTACCACAGAGATACCTACACACCCATTCTCAGTGCTCTACTAGTCACAATAACTAGGAAGTGGCACCAGCCCATCAACTGATAAATAAATGAAAATAGTGTGGTAGATCTACACAACGGGATTTCATTCAGCCACAAGGAAAATGAAATCATGACATATTAAAATCATGATTATGTTAAACGAGGTATGTCAGACACGGAAAGACAAATTCCACATGTTTTTTTCTTTCATATGTGGAACTTAAATTTCAATGTGTGTATGTGTGTGAAAGCAGAAGTGGGTAGGAAAGGGAGCAGCAGGAGGAGAGAAGCGGGGTGGAGGAGAGAAGCGGGGGTGGAGGAGAGAAGCGGGGTGGAGGAGAGAAGCGGGGGTGGAGGAGAGAAGCGGGGTGGAGGAGAGAAGCGGGGATGGAGGAGAGAAGCGGGGATGGAGGAGAGCAATGAGGGAAGAGAATGAATGTGAACAAAATGTTATGATATATATTTTAAATTGTTTTATTATTAGTAATGTATGTGGTGTGTGTGTGTGTGTGTGTGTGTGTGTGTGTGTGTGTGTGAGAATGTGAGCAATCCACCATATAACATACATGTGGAGGTCAGAAGACAGCTCTCCAGAGTCAGTTCTTCCTTTCTACTGTGACATCTGGGCATTGAACTCGGGTCATCAGGCTTTTGTGGCAAGCGCTTTACCCACTGAGCCATCTACTTGTCCAGTGTTATATATGTTTGCGAAAATGCTGTAATAAACTCCATCATTTTGTATGCTAACTTAATGAATAAAAATATATAAATCACTTTATAATTTTAAATCTACACATATTTCTCCAAAATATATTCAAATCTGAATATCTGTTCAGATATATTCGAATCTGAATATGTTTTGTGATTTTATTAGTGTATATTTTGACATTCTAATTTTACCTGTTCTTTTCTCTCTCTCTCCTCTCTCTCTCTCTTTCTCTCTCTCTCCTTTGTTCCTCTTCACCCTTTCTCTTCTGTCCCCTTCCCCTTGTTTCCTCTTCCCACTCCCTTTCCTCCTCACATATCTAGAAGTTTTTGTGCCACAAATTTCTTCAGCTTTTTATGACCAGTGACATCTTTTGTCTTCTTCATAGTGCTTATTTAATCATCCTTCATAAAATTAACATTTCACTAGCAAATTCTTAACTTGATTAGAAATTTTCACCTCCATCTCTCCTCCATCTTCGCAAACACTGCTAATGTCCAGAAGCTTATTTTTCTGTTATCGAGCATTATCTTGTTATCACCTACTTTGCCAGACATTTGATAACAACAGTTCTACTTCACAATTACTACACAGATTTCCTGCGCTTTCGTATCCTTCCTCTGCTGCTTGACCTCTGTCAGATCAGGATGCGATTTGGGGAAGAGGTGTGAGAATGGAGAGAGGCCGATGGTAGAAAGGAAGGGAATAGGGTGGGGATCACCATTTTAAGGATTTCGGCTGTTTCCGTCACAGCCTTACAACAGACTACAATAGGAACAACTGAAAATACAGAATTTTAGGCTGGGTGTAATTCAGTTTTAAATTCACCTTGAGAACAATTTCTATACTTTTCTTCTTTAGCGTGCATCTTCTGAATTTACATTATTTTTTGCTTCTCAAAGACTTTATAGTCGGTTTATCTTATAAACACCAATTATGTACTCACCCCCAAAGTCTGTTTCCAAAGACATATTTTCTCTGACATATGTCTGGTTATTATAGAGGATTTCTCCAGTACATTCATAGGTCGTTTTGGGTTGAAGATTGTCCATTTTGAGTGTGCTTTGATTCACAGGATTGCTTTCATTCGAGTTACCTGAAACTGTGGCATGTGAGTGTATGAGCGTGGTATGTGACAAAGGAACTTTACTTCAGATTCTGTATTATAAAGACAATGTTAGTTACAGTGAAACCTAAGCAAACTGAAGACAGATGCCCAAGCTCCTGCAAATGACTTCACTGTTCTCAGCTTCCTTCAGAAACTGAGTTGACACCACATTTAGCTTTTGCCTGAACAGAGTTTATACACATTTTAAAAAATTCTCAACCCAGTATATTCACTCCGACTTTCCTCATGCTTCTTGCAGCGTAAACCAGCAGCTTAGAAGGTGCTGGAATCAGGACCTTGCGCTGCCGTCTGTGTGCAGGAGCATGTGAGCCCACGTTTCTCTGTCTTTCCAGGTATGGCCTGGCAGGTGCTTAATGCCAAGAGCCCAGAAAGTCACTGTCGTTGAATTCAGTTACACTTAGATATGTTACCTCAGCCCATACTAAAGTTCATTTCTAGAAACATTTGCTGTTTTCCTGTGCCTACATGTTCTTGAACTTGTGAAGTGATTTGCTGATGGAAGTCTGACAGACACTCTTGGTCCATAGACTCTTATGGTTCCTTTCTAATAGAGTAGTGTCATTCTTTATAACACATTTCTCTAATAATCTTTTCAACAATGTTTGGTATATAACAATTGCTAAGAAATTTCTTTAAATTTATTAAATTGATTAATTTTTCAATATTTATCATCCATGTTTCTTATTTACCTATCTTGTGAAATTGTTTCAGTGGCAGAGAATATAGTTGTTTAACTCCAGTTTGCTAGAGACCAATGGGGTGGGAGAAAAGAGGCAAATGTGAAGAGAGAAAAATTAAACAGTATCTGGAATAACTTCGAACTATACAATAGTCATACCTTTATGACACTGAAGTCTGTATTTAATATTTTCCTCATGACATATACCTTTCTCTATTTTCCACATTAAGCAAATTGAAGTATTAGCTTTTTCAGTTTCTGTACAGTTAAATAACTTAAACTTCTTAGGACCTGTCAAGAAAACACAAAAAAGACTTGATTAATATTTCATGGCATGAATGTGTACCAGGTCTCAACCAAAGTTACTGCAATTAGACTCATGAGAACTATTTCTTATTTATATTTGTGTTTTGTTCGTATGTGTCTAAGTGTGCCCATTTTGTGAAAAGCCTGCAGAGGTCATAAATGGTCATCAGATCCCTTGAAATTGGAGTTATGGATAGTTGTTAGCTTCAATGTGGATGTTGGGAATTGAACCCGTGTTTTCTGGAAGAGCTGCCAGTGCTCTTAAACTTCAGAGCCATTTCTCCAGCCCCTTGAAAAAAAATTAAAGCATGTGGTTGCTTTGGAAAAGGTCTAAGAAAACTCAGGATTTGGTGATTTATTTTCCTTTAAATTGACACACAATTGCAGAAATTTGTATGCGATTGGTGTTTTGATACATCTGTACATCGTGCAATGACCAAATCCAGAGTGTCAGCCTATCATCACTTCATACATTTACCCTTCATCATGGAAGACATCATCTATTTTTTGGTATAGTACATTTAATAGAAATGTGTCTTGCTTTCAACTGAATTCAGATGACTTTTATAAATGAAACTCAAAGAAACATATAGATAATACAGTGGGTTTTTGCATTTGAAAGCATTTCACTTTGGGTTTTAGTGGTGCTTATATTGTTTTTTATGGTTTGGGTATTTTGAGACAAGCTCTATAGCTCGGACTGGTTTGGAACTCACTGTGTAACCGAGGGTAGCCTTGAGCACATGGAAATCCTACTGCTTCGGCCTCTGCATGCTTAGATTACAGGCTGGAGCCACCAGGCCTGGCTTAAGAAATTTCATTTCATTTTTTTATTCATGTCTCCATTTTCTTGATGTTGCTGTCTGATTTTTAAAATTATTTATTTTTATTATCATGTGTATGAGCATTTTGCTTGCAAGTATGTTAAGTGCATCCATATGGGCAATATATGCAAAGGCCAGAAGAGGGTATTGGATCCCTTGGAACTGGAGTTACTGATATGTGGGTGCTAGGAACCCCCTGAGTCCTCTGGAAGATCAGTTAGTGCTTTTAACTGTTGAGCCATCTCTCCAGTCCCACTGACTTTGATTTTTTAATTGGCTGAATACTGCAGAAAATATTGGAAGTTTCTTTTGAGGGAAGGGTATTTTTAAATAGTGTCATTTTATATTTTCAACTGGTGATTTATCTCAGTAATATTTAGAGAAATGAATAAGTGGATATTTTTCAAAGCCCATCATATATTAAGATAACTGAATATGAATGAGTTGTTCAATGATTCTGCTTTAGTAAGTGAGGAGAGATATTTCAAGCCATATTATAAAGAATGATGCAGCTCTGAACTGCTGCCCTGGAGGCTATTCACACTTTAGCCCCCTTACCTTTCTCAGCAGAGGCCAAGTTGCCAAAACGAATTTTGGTAGTATCAAGACTAGAACTCTCCTTTTTCTGTGAAAGTATTTTGATTCCTTACAAAAACATGAAATACTTAACTCTGTTCTTTCCCCTAATATACTTAAGAAACTTGTGTATAAAAGGACAAATAAACCATTTCAATTTTTTAAAATCTTATGTGTTATTATTTCTTTTTAATATTTTATTTATTACTTTTATTTTGTATGTATGAGTGTTTTGCCTGCCTGCATGTAAGTGCACCTGTGTTATGCATGCCCGTGGAAGTCAGAAGAGGCTGTTGGATCCCCTGGAACTGGAGTTATGGATGGTTGTTAGCTGCTATGTGTGTGCTGGGAACTGAGCTCTGGTCCTCTGCAAGAGCAGTCAGTGCTCTTAATCTCATTTTTCCAGGCCTATAATTACTTCTTAAAATAAATTGTATATAACCTACAGAAAACTGTTGAAGAAGTAAGAAAGGTGAGTGAAGGCGCTAATGAGAAGGTTTCTATTTCTTCATAGCTTCCACTGGGCTCCAGCAGAAATGTCACCCACTGACTTCCTTTCCCCCAGCCCTGTTCTCTGGCTCTCTAGCTCCTGGTACCACTAGAATACACACATGAAATCACACTGCTGTTATAAATACACAAATAGAAAGGAATTGGTACTTACTTGGTGGCACCTCTAATTTCACAAATTTAGTTGGAGTGCAGGAATCATTAAATACAGGGACACTGAATTCTAAACATTCTTGTAGGTTTTGGAACGTTTCTACACAATCCGTAGTTTCACATTGAGGTTTTCTGTCACCTTTTACCTCTGCCTTAATGGATTTATTATCCTCGTCATAGGAGTAATTCACAGTGATGTTCCCATATTTTTCATCTGAAAGAAAGTGGAAGTATTGTCATTATTCAGAATGAATAAAACTGCGTTAGATACAAATGTCTTAACGTGTTGCTCCATACAGAGAATGATTAATTATAGCTGTGTATTGGGTTTCAGATGAGTGAGTGTATTAACTGCACAGCAAGCAATGGTACAAGAACAATCAGGAGACAGCAGAAAAAGCAGTATATTCATAGAAGCAGGAGATAGATAGCAAAATATCACCAAATTCAACCATCAGAGTATGAAGGAAATATCCTTAGGAATATGGAAAGGAGAATAAATATATCAGGTGCCTCTATAATAATTTTGTAGTTCTCTTTTTTAAGACTTCATTTAATTTTATTTTACATATATGAGTGTATTGCCTGCATGTATGTAAATGCACCCATGTTGTGCAGTGTCTTTGGAGGTCAGGACATCAGATCCACTGGAACTGGAGTTATATATAGTCACCATGTGGGTGCTGGTAATAGGATCTGGGACCTCTGCAAGAGTAGCCAGTGCTCTTAACCATTAAGCCATCCTTCCAGCCCCTTGTAGTTCTCTTTTCCTATCAAGGATCCCATACTCAGATGGTTATTGGATTGATGTCTATTTTCTTTATAGACTATAAATTCCATGAGACCCAAGTCCAGTCTATTGATCATAATCATAACTTCAGGTCCATGAACAAAAGCTGTCATTATCAAGAATTCAATAATTATTTGTTGAATTAATTCACAAATGAGCTGTGCATCTGACTAATTTCTTCTTGCTTTATAACTTATTTTGCTTTTAAACTGCATTTATAATTTATGTACTTCTCCAATTATAAAGTTTAAAGAGACCACAGGCTATCATTCAATCT